GCTACAACTGTAGCTGCCTCCACCAGTGTGTGAATGTGAGAGTGAATGAATAGTGGAATTGTAAAGCACTTTGGGTGCCTTAAAAAGCGCTATATAAATGCAATCCATTATTATTATTATTATTATTAATATTTGCATCTAAAATAGTGGTAGGGTAGATTGATATGTAATGGTGCAAAGCAGAAGATTTGCATCTAAAATAGGATATAGTATAAGTAAAACATAGAAATACATTAAAAAATTACACAAAATTCAAGTAAATGAGTACTTAATTACAGTCCTGCTCTCACCCGATGGTGTTGGGCACTGTACGATTAAAAGTGCTCTAGTCCAGCGTTTTATTTGGAGGCACATATTGAGCTGGTTCTTTCAAATCAGATTTAAGTCATCTTTCAAACGCAGACTGTAGATTCAGATGTCAGAAAAAATTAATTGGGATTCGATTTATTGACTTAAAGGGGAAAAAAGTAAAAATTTCTCCCTTGCAGAGGAAACCCGACGTACTTAAGAATATAATTTGAGCTCAACAACTTCTTCGCTCCCTAGCTGTGCTGGCATACGGATGGTGATAAAGTGGGTGGTAAATTGGCGGGGCTACTGAGACATGACGAGTGGCAGCAATGGCTGACTCAACCTTTCCTTCTCGTTGCACGGGTCAGAGAAACAGACAAAGCTCTGTCTGAGCCTGCAGACCCAATCCAAGCCTGTTATGGCACAAGCTGCAACTTGGCCAAATGACACTGATCGTTTAATGATCTGTGGCATGTCACTGCGAGAGGAAAGTGGGTGAGAATGCCACACGGCTCACTGACTGACAGCAAGTTAAAGTCTAACACTGTCATGATGTGGAAATAGACATTCGAATGTTGTAAAATCAGAGCAGGGATACCGTACGATACGCACACTCACGCACACACCGAGTCACGTCAAAAAGTCATGTTTATTGTTGCCAGCCGTCGTCTGTGTTTGGTTGTGTATCATCATGGAGACGCCTACTATAGCAGGAACTAAAACAAAGGTGGTTTGGATTACTCTGTCAAGTGTTTATATGTCTGAACGTGGGCAGAAGTTACCAACGCGACGGCTACAAATGAAATGAATGAAACGATACAGCGATGTATTATTGCAAGTTCAAAGATCAGCGTGGGCGCTAAGTAGAGGGCAACAGAAGTCGCCTCTGCCCACCTTCACACTCCTGCCAAACAGTCTTTTACTTTTTTTTGTTCTTTTTTTTAAAGCATCCTGATCCAAGACGCTCCTGACATTGAGGCTGATGTGATGCAACTGCAGTACGGTATCCAGATAAGTTCCTCAAACTAATCCCGAAATGGGTTTCAAAGAAAGACGACATATGCAAACATCAGTAGTTCAGATTAAACACTGGGAGGGGGGAGGTGAGGGAGCTGACCGTGTCCAGGTGAGTGCGCTGATGCTTGGCCCGATCGCTGGAGTTGCTGAAAGCTTTCTGGCAGCCAGGGTGCTGGCACAGGTACGGCTTCTCTCCTGTGTGGCTCCTCAGGTGGATCTTCAGATTCTCCAGACGAGAAAACGCTTTGTTACAGCCCTCGAACTGTGGAGGAGGGAAGACAGAGATTAGAGCACAAAGGCAACCGCACTTTGGCAGGTATGCACGGGACCACACAGGAAAAATAAGCAAAAAGCCCACATGCATGCACACAAAAGAATTTAAATCAATCGGTGTAAAGCTGGCAAACGTTAGAACCGTGTGGGTTGTGTATATGTGTGTGCATGTGACTCAGAGATAAGTTGTTCCAATCTTTCCTTCAGTCTCATAATTACTCACACAGATGGAGCTCGCTGTAAACTATATATTAACTAGCTATGGAAAAGAAATTAAATACTTAAAGAAAACCTTTTCCGCTGTTACGGTGGGAGATGCTCAGATTAAACACGAGGACAGCAACTTGTGATTCACAAGCTCAGGCTTCAAAGCTTTCGGTTACAAGGGTCAGCCAATCAGAAGAAAGTTGGCTTATATGCAACTTTGCAAACAATTTGTTTTGCACTACGACTCAATACCAGAGAAATAAAGATTGTGTTGAACTCACTCGTGCAAAGCCACTCTAGTAAAGGCAGAGAATAAAAGATGGAGCTGGGAATTAGCAGAAACTGTCCACTTTAATAATGTGGGTGGTGTAAGTGTGAGCTTTTTTTTTCCGTGGCTATTATGTTGCGGATCCAAAGACCTTTGTTGAAAAGCACATCCACTTGAAAAACAGCCGCATTCATGGCGGTGCTCTTGTCTCGAGGCTGCCATCTAAATCGCCGGGAAACTGGAGTGTGCC